CAATTTGGTCTGGGCCCGAGGTGGGCTTAATAGCCGGCGACTACTGTAATACCTAAAAAACAAAAAAACAAAAACAGCAGTGTTTACTGGGTTTAATGTCGACCAGTGAACGCAAAATGCTCTCGTTTTGCAAGTGGTCATGCTCGAACTCAGGCCTCGTAGTCTCAAACAATGTCCAAAAGTTACACAGTCGAGGCCTAACTTCCATGATGGACTGTGGGAGCCGAACATACTATTAGTGGGGGAATATCGTGAATTAACCCTTCCCAGTAATCCTCAACGCACTTTGTATAAGGCTGCGTAGGTTAAAATGAAAGTGACTGGCCGGAGACAAGTAGAAATGCATTTATTTCCTACAGTAGATGACCTTACTCATGAAAAATGTCGAAATTTAAGAAAGATTGATAATCAGTCGCAAACCAGCATAAACGCAAGAACCAAAGCTTTGGAATAATAATGAACAATCTTAGACAAAGTTAAAAGTTAAATCAACTGTGAAAAGTACTGCTAATTTATTTACAAATGCCAACTTTGTTATTAAAAATATCGGAAAATCCTGAAAACTGGAAAAATCGTTGCAACTGTGACCCGTAAACGTAAAAAGAATTGTTATGTAAAATCGTAAACGTACCATTTTGCGTATATTAGAAGAGCTTTCCTTTTTTTAACTTTCTCTAGTATTTAGTTACAAATATACGCAAATGGTTCTTAAAATCCCGGAAAATATTTCACGATTTTCAGTGTTTTCAAAGTCTTTGCCATAAATTTAAATTCTGTTCCATGGGCTTATCAAAAGAAGTTATTCCTTGAAAGAATTTACCGAGAAACGGAGCTTTTTGGTATTAGTTCTTATGAAGATGGCTGCTTGTGACATTTATAGTCTCACCCAAGTATGAAAACTCGTTACCTCTTCGAAAAGCATTTTTATTAGATGTTAAGCTGACGAATACTTGCGTGAGTCATCTTTTTCTAAGGTAACATAAAAATGAAAATGGGAGAAGAATACGGACATTTGTGTTCCAGCACTCACTGCCCGTACCTTCAAAATAAAGTTTGAGCTCCTGCGCGAAGGAGGAACAACCGAAAGATTTGGTCTAGTGATCTACTTATGTAAGTAACCTGAAAGGGCAATCCACAAAAATCAGCGACCATTGCATGTAGCTCATTATCGGGTTCATGGAGACAGAAGGCTGAAAGATACCAACATTACATACAAAGCAACCCACCATTCAACCGGAGCAGGATGAGCTCCGTATTCTCCTCCTTGATACCGGCTTCCTTTACCAGGGCCAAATGGCCCGGAGAGAGGGTCTCAATTGTGTCCCTGCTTTGCTTGACCTGTTCGATGACAGTAGCCAGCTGTTTCTCGCAAGCTAGAAGGTAGAGGCGAACAGCAAAGAGGACAGGAATATTCAGTTCCCACGAAAACCGTATTCATCCCTTCCAAAGAGCAAAACTCTAACCGTCGTGCAAGAGGGAAGTCTGCCTGTCAACCGGCAAATGATATTCTTTAATTGCATAAACCGAAGGAAGGACAGGCTAGCCTTGGTTACCGACCACGCATCCTCGCCAGGGCACGGCTTCGACTTAGAACCTGTGCAAATACAAAGCCACTCGGACGACCCAATCTCACGCCTGGTGCACGAATCCCGGAACTCGCACGCGGATTCTATTAATAGGCATATCGATCTCCCGGATGCCTTTCTCGTGTTGCGCGAGCAATGGCAGGGCTCAAGGTCACTCGCGGCGGAGCGAACAATGGCAGCTCAAGGTCACCCCGGCAGAGCTGACTTAATCACTCAGTGAGCTGAACTTTTTTCACTCCTTGACAGGGGGCTCGAGTGAGAGTTCAAAAGGTCGGACAAATAAAATACTGGTCCCAGAGAACGTTTTTCCGCCTTCTAAACCTAGTTCGATTGTAAAAGGGAAACGACATAAGCTGACCTCAGCACACATTTCCGACACAAAAGGCAGCAAAGATAGTCGCACAGTAAAGGGAGGCTGCTGGAAGGCCATTCATCAATATTTTGCCACGTGCTGGAACTCAGACCCAGTTAATACGTGTTTCGCATCTTGCATTGAAGTTACTTGTATATGGGCGCCGATATGAATATGCGAAAGTACTTTTTGACGTTGGTTTGATGGGACATCAGGTGAAAAGGGAAAAACACCGTCTATTCAAATAAACTTCCAAGATAGAATGCTTTTTATTAATCCGTAGAGAGTTAATATTGCATTCAACAAGGTAGAGAGCAAAACAACTATAAAGGTGCTCGAGTTACTTAGATATCCATAGCCTCAGAATTATGTCTTACGAGACTGCTGTTAATAGAGATTTTATGGTTAGGTCATACCAAAAGAAAGAAAAAATAAATTAAAAAGTAAAGCGTATAAAAGCAGAAAATAAAAGGAAAAAATTATTTAAATAACCACATATTTGTGCGAGATAAGTAAAATGACAGATGCAGCATATAGGAAACAAAAACTGCGCAAAAGTACTTACACACAGGCGAAATTTAAAGATTAAAATACTACCATGAATGATCGGCTTTTTCCCCAATCTTTAAGATTCACATTATTTTTTAATGTATTTGTATAGATATTGTAGTACGATAAGGCGAAAAACAACCGTATGTCGCTTACAAAACTAAATTGAATTAAAATTAAGCCATCTAAAGCTATAACTAAAATCAAGCTACTAAACTAAACATAAGGATGAGAACTAAAGTAAAACTCATAAAGCTTAAAGCAATCGCAGGAAGCTAAAGATTTCCGTGTTTTGGGGTGCAGCTATAAGCATAACTACGCCTACTTAAGTACATATATATGTAGTAGGCATATAAGTACATATACTTCTGGATCTCGGGCAGCTTTATTGCTACCGAAGGCAGCTTTTCAAAAAGATACCAACGAGCACAATCCTTATTATACAACAAGATAAAAAGTATCAAAGCCGTTGAAGCTTACCAGCTATGCTATCTTTTAGGTCTTCCCGTTTTTTAGCTACTTCTTGAGAAAGAATTTTCTTCCTTTTGGACAGGGCTTTCTTCTCTCCAGATGTTTCGTCAAGACATACAGCCATTTTTTCCATCTAAAGTAAAAAAAAACACACAAAACGATGACATCTCGTCAGAATTAGCCCAGGAGGTCAGTTTTATCAGCGCGTCATTTCAAAAATACAGGACTCCGTTGAATTGACAAATTTCGTAAAATATAGGCCAGCTTCTGGAGTTCGAGACTTTTATGCGTGATTCTAGGATCCTTTATCTCAAAGAGTAAGTTACACAAAGTAGGCCAGAATAAAGTATGAGTTGCCTGCCTGGTCGGTGAATCAGGGAGTAAAGTGTCTTTCTTCTATGTACTGATTATTTTCCAGTCACTAAATAGCACCACCGATCATTTTCTGTAAGATGATTCCTAACTTAGATGCTAGCTCAAAAACTGAGTAGGTGCCCTAACCAAGCTACTCACTGGAAAATACTTATCTTTTTGTAAAGTCCGGGTTACCATGTCACATAATCTCACGCTCCCTTGTTGATTGAATGTATTCCTAATCATGTGGGTATAGCATCTCCAAAATGTCACTCCTTAACTGGCACGTGCCTTTGTCGGAACTTTTCGATAACACGTAAACTAAATTACGTTTTCGTTGAAGGATACATAAAACTACCTTATGTTACTGATTTTGCAGGACTCTAGGTCACGCCCAAATGTTGTCTGAAGGAATAATTTATTTCCGTTGTAGAATAAATGCAGATGGAATAATTTTGTGGGATTCTAGAAGGATTATTTCTGTAGCCCGAAATGCATACTTACATAAGGGACGGCTTGCAGGTTGTGTACAGTAGCCTATGCGGTAACATCTAAATAACTACTATAGGTATTTTAATAGGCCTAGTTATGCATAATACACCACCCAACAGCACGTTTAGATTTAGTCTTATTATTTTTAGCTTTAGTTTGCAGTTTATTGCTTAGTTTATTAATTTAATTTTAGGTATAGTTTTAGTTAGTTTAAATAAATCCTTCATTCGAGACACAGTTTAGCAAGACGTCATTGTTTTAGAAAATAAGTATAAGAAATTAGTTTTCCGAGGAGCCTTTCTCGCAAGTTTACTTTAATTTGCGCTAATATGCAGATTTTGGGGAAGAATACACTACACAGGGAGCTGTGTTTTCCGTGAGTGTAATTTATATTCTACCTGAAAGGTTCCTGAACTCCAATCTGGCTTCCTATGGCGTAGTAATTATGCTATAATAATATATATTGCCCGTTTACAGACAATGTTTGGGCTTTTGTCCCATGCTAAGCATTATAGTGACTGCACTCAGAGCGTTTGTCATTTTAGGGAGCATTTTTCCAGACTTTGATCAAGAACTAATGAAGTCCCGCGTATACTCCAGTGCGTTTCCGATGCCTGTGAATCTGGAATATTGTATGGTTCATGTATAGTTCTATGTTCACATTTGTCGTTAAGCTCTCCTGTTGCTCACACAAAAGCCCTTTAGAACACTATGTTCTGAAATTTTGTACATTGAGATATTAATGTTTGTTAACTAAAATAATTCAAAATGAAAATGCTATTCCTCAGATTCATTTAGAGAAAGTGTGTCCATCTAGCATACGGTACTAGAAAAAGCTTATTTGGACTCAAAACTTTGTAGTAAGATAAATCCTTATGATATGATATGGGTATGATTATGTACATAGCTACTATTAACGCTTTTTTTCATGATGCTTACAAAGCCAACAGCATGAGTTGTATATATTACACCAGGAAAGTACACAAACGCACTGTCCGCTTGGGAGACTTAGCATCACAGAAGTTGTTGAAAAAAGGCAGAAGCAAATGAAGATGCGTGTTACATTTCGAAGAAGGCCCAAATGAACAGACATTTTAAGGATATGGTAAACATACTCTCCAAATAACAAAGAAGAATAAGACCTATTTCTCCACAGACATGATAGTTCGAAGCATACTCTAGGAAATGTGATTAGATATTAAAATCGGTAAGGCTTTCTTGTTAGGCCGTCTGATATCAAAAGTCCCCTCCCCGCCCAAGTTTCTTACGGAAATCGTGGTTACATGTTTAATACTCCATTAAGGCGTAATTAATATGGGTTCAATGAATGATAAGTGCACAACAGGAAATAAATTAAAGGCACTTGTACTTGTTTTACTGAACTAAAAGTATACGTGAAAAGCACGCGGAAAGCATAAAAGCGGTTTCTGTAGACCAATAACAATATTAGAACAAGTCCTATGGGTTAACCTGACCGAAAGAGTGTTTGAATAGGCGGAAATTCGACCCACCGAAAAGTTGGAAGTTGTTTTTTATAATAAATCTCAGAAAAAAGCAGTCCAACAAGAAAGCCCTACGTGAAAATCAAGAGAACTGTATTTATCGGATAACGTATGGTTCCAGAGTGCGACTTACACGGGTGACTGGAAAGATGTCCAACCACAGTTAAATCAGTCATCACACCGAGCTATTACATGAGTACGTACCATGGAAACTAGGGTTATAAGTGAGCTGCAATTATTTTTGTCCTATTACACGTGTTTGTCACTGTTTCTTAACCAATAAGGAAGGGACGATTACTTGGGAGATTTACTTTTTGGTTGAATTTTCGGAACGTATATGACAGTATTCAGAATGTGAGATTTAATGAGCTTTTAAGGGAGCACGCGTAAGCAAACCGATGTAGGAACTGGTAAGCCCTTTCTAGTGTTGTCATATGATTACTATTTTTCACAGGTTTTGGTAGATTCGAAAAAGTGTAACCTGTCCAAGCTACCCGGTAATGTGACTGTCTTGTTGCGTCCCAAGCACTAACCGTCCCTTTTTACTCCTTCCTCCATAGTAAAACCACCCGCCCTCAAGCTAACTTAAAGAGTAAATAGCTAAAAAAGAGGTCAACAAAATATAACGTCAAAGATTAGAGTAAAATAACATTCAGAATGTCGTACAGTGCGTTTGCAGTTGATAGTGCGCGCTTTGCCATTTGAAATCTTGTTTTGAAGCGACTTCTTTATTCGACTATCCTCGGCCATAAAGGCACGGGTTTCTTCGTTGGCTCCATCAAGCGCGGCTTGATTTTGCAGCCTAAAACAGACATTAAAAACAGAGTTTTTATTTATTAAACTCGGGAAGAGAGAGGGCGTCTGAAGTTTCAGCCGCAACGGGCAGACTTCCGTTTCTGGATATTCTCGTCTGCTGCCACTTGGACGGCAAAGTGGCGAGGTCTGTCAACCGTAAACCGAAAAACAGTTCGCAAATATTAATTACAGTAGCAACCATCCGTTGAAACACAGGCGAAGTTGTATACGCACGCTATACTGACGAATAGAAACCCACTGCATCACGCCAGCCGCAAAACAAGACCAGGGAGCTTTTCAGAACTAACTGCTAGCCACGAGCATTCATTGAGTGGAATCGAACGCCACAAAAATGGCAGACCAAGGTACGTTGCCCACCGAAGTCGTGTCGGAACATCCCGTACAGGAAAGGCGTCTACAAAACCGTGGCTAGATCCCTCGCGCCTTTCGAAATGGGAGTTGCCCATAGGTCTGCTTCCACAGTCCGGCAACAAGTAATGCGATTGAAAGACCCTATCCCGAAGCATGAGAAATCAGGCGTTGTCTACCGACTTCAGTGCAGTTGCGATTTTTGCAACCAGGTCGGAAAAACCGGCAGTCAGGTACAAACGCGAATGCATGAACATCAGCTGGCTGTAAGAAGGCTGGACCCAAAGTCGGGGGTAGCAACCCATGCTGCAGGGATGGGACACGCCTTCAATTTTGACGCCGTTGAAATTGTGGGCTGGGGTGAAAATCACACATCAAGGCAGACTAAAGAACCCTGGATGTCAACCGACTATTCCGTAAACCGCCATGTACATTTGCCGGCCCCCATTATTGTATTAAAAACATTCTTATCAGGGGACAGCCACGGCCTGGAACAATCGGGGCCGCCAGCTAGCTCTACGACCAACATGCCTGTGCATGAAACAGGCCATGGCGGGATGGAAGCTGGCGAGGCACAGATGGCCAACGCACAGGGCACGAGACAAACACAGGCGCCCCAGTTGCAGACAGAGTCAAGGAGGATACCGACAGCGAAACGCGAGACACACACGGCGGCTCAGCCGCTATTGGCATACTACGCAGGCGGAAGAAAAGGAGCCGCATAGAGTGAGAACTAGGAGCCAGACTATGCACTCTCTGAAGGTGGGTAGACGAGACAACTATCCGAAACATCAGCTATCAAATAAACCTCTCCGGGTGAGCGCTTTTTCTCCGTCTGAATTACCACCTTGGAATCAATTTTTCACTACTCTATACGCACATGTTTTTAAGCAAAATGTGAAAGCGATACCTCAATACGCATAGAAAAAAAAGATGATTCGTAGCACAAGAGCATAGTAAAGGCGGGTGAACTCACCGAAGTTCGTAGTCTTTTGTGAAAATTTTGTTGGTTATTTTCATCTGTTCCTTCATGGATGACATCGCGGCTCTTTTTGTAAAAAAAGTGCAAATACAAGCCAATATAGATATTTGTTTATTTTAGAAATTTCCTACTGCAGTTAATGTGATTCTTTGCTGCGGAACCAGTAAGCGATAAAACTAATAACGGCATGAATAGAACGGATGCAAAAGGACGTTTCCTTATCACTACCGAACATGAACGCTAAGCATTCTAGAATCTGAAGCAAGTGACAACGGCAGAATGTATTTGTTCAAATAAATTTCGAGATAGTTCATCAACCGCTTCCTCTCTTTGTATGGATACCGAATCCTAGTAAAAACCATGAAGAAATTACGCATGAAGATAAAGTTGCGACTATGACCTAGGTCACCTGTAACTTAACCGATAAAATAGATTCGTCCATAACCCGTTTATCGTAGACTATTTGGAAGATTTGGTCCTTTTGCGTCAAGTGCTTTTGACCTGACTACGAAAATAGAGACCATTTTGTATTTTAAATCATCCAATAAAAACTTTTTGATTAACGCGATAGAGGACAAGGCACCCGTAATACTAATGGCCGAGGAGTGAACTTAGTCCCAAAACCCCCATTCCGTGGAAGCGAAAGCAATAAAAGAGCTTGTGCGCACCACTTTCCTATTCAGATACAATAACAGATCCAAAATCGTCGAGTGTGGACGATGGAGCGGACGTACAGCCTCGCTAGCCAGTTATGAGTAAGTTCTAGAACATTATCTCGAAAAAAACGAAGTAAATGCGCCTTGCTAAGGCGTGACATTTCTAAAGGTAAATATGAATTTTAATACTCGGAAAAAGGAGATGTGACCGCTGCTATTGTCTAATGGCTACAACCTTTGTGAGGTGAGCAAGGAGGAATAAATATGCAGTCCTCTTGAACCTGACACTTATGTATGATACATTATACGATGGAACCCAAAAGCGTTCTGTTATCGTGCCAGTCCATAACAAAAGAAATAGGATGCATTACTTTGATGCCATATTTTAAAATTTAATGACACGCAGCAAATTCTTGTTTCGCCGAGTTCTCCACTATAGGAGACAGCGGTATTTAGCTGTATTTTTTTATTCTTTCACCATCGTCACCTTGTTGCACTTTGTACATTGTCATGTCCTCATATGTGGACACGTCTAAGATTAAGTTAGAACAGTATAGCCACCATGTCCTCTGAGATTAGGACTAGGCAACGTCACAGGACACTGCCGAGTTATTGCATGTTATAAAAACATACTACCCGCTATTTTTCAATAGTATTACACTATGCGCTTTTCCTTTTATGCAAATTGCAACAATCGCCTACACCGAACCTTGTGGTCCTAGGCTACGCGGCCCTGTGAAGTTTTTCCTAATGGCTGTCCATAACTGACTGCGGAGGATCATGGTAGAGCCCTCTGTTTCGTCACTTGGTCGGCAGACTCGGTAACCAGCAAGGGCGTATGATGGGCGTATCTCCGACACTCGGTGATGTTCTCGTGACCTCTGCAATCTTCTGCTCGTGTGACGCTTAGGATATTGATGAAAACCGCGATGGGCTCCTTCTGACATGCTTCAAACATCCTCTGCAGCAGGCCATGCGATTTCCCATATCTTCTCCCCCCGGGCGGCAGTTTTTCTCCTAAAAATCCCTCAAATGGCATTCAAGCCTCTAGAATTTCCAAACAATGCCTAAGAAGTTTTTTTCACTGTCTGCTCTTTTTATCCAGTTCCCTTTACTGGCAACGCCACTCTTTTGCAATGTTCTGTCAAACCAATGCATTGCATAGCTGCTCTGTCCAAATAGGGAGCTCACGGAAATTTATCTACATTTCCCTTAATAAACCTGACCTGACCTAACAAAACGGGGTAAACAAGGACCAAATAGTTGGAATCAAGCTTTTAAACCATAATCTAAATGCTTTTACACATACTAAATGAGGACTCTTAACTGCCGCTTAATATATATGGAGTAGATACACCTGTAAGTTAGAAGTAAGTAATGCGTTACTAAAACATAAGTGTAGCTTTATCCCACTTCCATAACTATCCCTTTCCATTCCTGATGGCCGTATTTATTACACCCGATGTCTCTAAGGAAGATTCGGGTTTAGAAAACTGCCAGCAAAGGACTATAAGGGGGGTGTTTCGGTGAAAATTCCTCCCCAGTCAGTTAGTATTGTCGGTTCCGAACGATATCTCCTAGTGAGCGGCTTAGCGGGGAGATTTAATAGTCAAAGTCAGGTTTCACAATAAGGAGGATTTAAGACGGAGTTCAGATTTATTTTGTTTTAAAAAACCTGATGGTTCTCTGGTTAAATCGCGTAAAATCGGCACATTTCTAAGCCAATTTAGATATCTGATAAGCACAGAACATACAATCATTGCCCACGTGCTTTACTTGAAAATGGACCGAGGGAACGATTGGCTTGTGTTTAGCTTCCAAGCACTGAGGCACAGCGACTTACGGAGGAGTGAAGTATGGAACAATTCATCCGTCGTAATCAGTCAGCACTGTATCACTGTCTTGAGGGCACACTGCTGACTCGTGCATCGATAGCCAGAGTCAAGGATCAGATGCAGTGATTTGCGAGACTGAAACCCCCGCTACACTTGTCTGCTGGTCCCTATTTTGATACAAACCGGGGTTCACATACGCAAGGGTGCCACAAACGACGAACCAGAAAAAACTATATAAACCCACCTCCTCCCCTTGGTCCTGAATAGAAGCGGCCTATATTATCAAATGTCAAATTTCCCATAAACGGCTGTTAGCATGTAGCAATGGGTTGGAAGCTCGCTTGAGTGTTCGTTGTAAGGAAAGGCGGTGTTCGCTCCCAGCAGAACTGACCTCCCATTTACCTTACCAGCGGCAAAGTTCAAATGAGCAGGACTAGGGACAGGGGAAGAGTAGGTGTAGCGACTGGCGTGGCGTGAGACCGATAATTGAGAAAAGCAGCTAAGGTCACAGAAAGAAGGTGTTATGACCAACTAGTTCTCAGTCAGTAGGAGACCCGAGTTATTCTCGCAGTTAGTTGTCTTCAAATTCGCAAACTTTGAACATCATGAAGGTTTCAAATTAGCTACAATGTTGAAGCTGGTTCAGTTTCAATCCCTGTTCCTTTCAATGTGTCTTTTCAAACATCATAAAGGCTCGTCTATTACAGCTGATTAGACGAGCCTTTATGGGGTTTGAAAAAGACAGCTATTCCAAAATATTTGGATGCTTCGTTCGGCCGCACCTGGAATTCGCTATACAGGCATGGAGACCTTGCACTGTCAAAGATTGTACTGTCTTAGAGAAGATACACAGGCGAGCGACAAAAATTGTCTAAGGTCTGGTAATACTGCCCCATTAAAGCATACTGTCAACCCCCGATCTATTGCCCCTTTTCCTACAGAAAACTTCGAGGGGACCTCGTATTTATCTTCCGTAGTATGTGTTAGGATGGTAGCCTGACCAAAGGCTAGCA